GGCACTCATGGATAAATATTACCTTTTAATAACAACAGATGACAATTGCTTACTTTGATTAACTGGATTTGTGTATCTTTTTACTTCTGCTTAGTTTGCTTTTATAGATGACTTTCTTATGGAAGGAGCAGGATTAACTGATCAGGGATTTTTTGTGAGTGGGAAGGGGGACCCATGTCTTGGTTTCTGAGGCCTTATTTCCTGAAGATAAGTGACCAGCCTCTAAATCATTCCAAAACTATGGATAATAGCAAAACTAAAGCTGTTCTTGTTCTGATAGAATACTGGCTATTATTAAATACTTTCATATGCCACAGGAAATCTAATAATGACATTTCACGCCTTCTGAAAAATATTTACATAACTCATTAAGTAAACATTAGGTCTGAACTAAAATCATATGAACAAACTGAACTACCAAGCAAAATAGAGATAGTCTCATAGACAGAGAGCAGGAAGACAGCTTGTATGTGGGGGGAGGTGAAAGAAGGCATAGAAGGGATAAATGGTGACGGAAAAAAAGAAAATTGCCTTGGTCGGTGTCACTCAGTGCCGGCTCGTGCTCCAAAGGGTCCCAGTTTTAACTCCTGGTCAAGGGCACATACCTGGGTTGCAGGTTGGATCCCTGGCCCAGGTCGGGGCACGTATAGGAGGAAACCAATTGATGTGTCTCTCTCACATTGATATTCCTCTTTCTCCCTCCTTCCCTCTCTCTAAAAGTCAATGGAAAAAATATCCTCGGGTGAGGACTAACAAAATAAAATGGAAAATGTTTTAAAATTATATTTTTATTGATTTTCAGAGAGGAAGGGAGAGGGAAAGATAGAAACATCAATGATAAGAGAGAATCATTGATCGGCTGCCTCCTGCATGCCCTACACAGAGGATCGAGCCCGCAACCCAGGCATGTGCCCTTGAACAAAATCGAACCTAGGACCCTTCAGTCCACAGGCCGACACTCTATCCACTGAGCTAACCCGGCTACGGCAAAATTTAAAAAATGGTATCATCAGAATTATTACTTTAAAAATTATCCTCTTGACCCTGCAGGGTGGCTCAGCTGGTTGGAGTGTCAGTGTACACCAAAAAAGTTGCAGGTTCAAACCCCAATCAGGGTGCGTATGGGAGGCAACGGATAGATGTTTCTTTCTCCCTTCCTCTCTCTCTCTCAAATCAATAAACATATACTTGGGTGAGGATTAAAAAAAAATTAGCCTCTTTCTGGTGTGACAATGTTAGGGGCAGAAATAGAATATTGGAAACTAATTATGAGACACATTAATCATGCTGTTAACCATGATGGTTCTGTTCTGATTAGAAAGCACATTTTTTCTTGGCTGGGAATTGTACGCCCTGGGACATGGGAGCTAACATCGGAATGCAGTCCAACCTCCTGTCCCAAGAACTGCCTATGGTTATGGAGAGATTTATAACCTCGAGGCTGAGACAATCTATCCTGGAAGCACCTGTTCTTTACAACCCCAGCCCCTATTACCTACAATCTGGTCCTGGGGCGCCCAAGGGCATCCACGCTATGTGACCGCCCCGACCCCTCCAAGCCTGCATGACTTGTAACCTGTAATGTTTATCCTGGGCCCACTTTCCCATGTAATCTTTGTCCTTCTACCCAATATAAGCAGCTGGCTTATGGTGGAGGGCAGAGCAGATTTTTGTGGATGACCTGCTGCTCTCCCATGCTGCCAGTAGGATTGGAATAAATGCTCATGTATGATTCAACCCTGTCTCTGCTTAATTGGCTCACATAGTGACAGGCAGCCCTGACTCCTTGGTTGTCCGGTTACAATAGCCCATGTTGTCATGTAGTATTTTCCTCATAATTTTTCTTTCTACTAAGTAGCTGCAAAAGTACTACTTTTGTACTGAAGTGGCTACATTGGATCATACTACTTTCATTCTAAAGTCCTTCCCCCATTTTTTTAACACATTTATTATTTTATACTAGAGGCCCGATGCACGAAATTCCACCTTCGCCTGGCTGTCCAGTCTAATTAGCATATTATACTTTTACTAGAGGCCTGTTGCATGAAGAGATTCGTGCAATAGGCCTTCCCTTCTCCTGGCTGCGGGCACAGGTTTTCCTCTGGCACCCGGGACCCAGGCCTTCGCTCTGGCCAGAGCTGCCTTCCGTCCTCCATCTTCGCGGCCCCGGCCAGAGCCGCCTTCTGTCTTCCCATCTTCGCTGCTCCGGCTTGCTTCAGTCTTTGCTCCACTGCTTGGCGCCTACGTATGCAAATTAACCACCATCTTTGTTGGCGGTTAATTTGCATATCACGCCGATTAGCCAATGGGAGGCGTAGCGAAGGTACTGTCAATTACCCTGTTTGTCTATTATTAGATAGGATTATTATAGATATATATGTGTGTGTGTGTCTGTGTGTGTGTATATATATACATACATACACACGCACATATATGTATATATATGGTTGATTTCAGAGAGAAAGGGAGATGGAGAGAGAGAAACATCAATGATGAGAGAATCTTTGATTGGGTGCCTCCTGCACGCCCCCTACTGAGGATTGAGCTCACAACCCGAGCATGTGCCTTTGACCGGAATAGAACCTGGGACCCTTCAGTCCACAGGTCGATGCTCTATCCACTGAGCCAAACTGGTTAGGGCTAAAGTGACAGCCCCAGAGCTATACTTTTTTTTAAAAAAATTATATTTTGAAGAGTACACTGGGGATTGCAAATATTTTAGGTCAGCAGGAATTAGCCATTCCCTAAATGTGAAATTCCTCCCCTAACAGTTTATGCTGCTCTAGACTAGAGTGCCCAAACTGTTTTCCAAATCTGAAAGTTGAAGTTACACATTTGCATTCCTGCCACACAAAATCAATAAAAGACACCAATCTGCCTTTGCTGAGGCAGGGATGGGAAGCAATGCTGGAATTTTGGTTCAGGAGATCATTTACCTTCCTCTATGGTCCCCAACGGAAAGGGAGCTGCAACCAACTCATCACCTGACAGAACTAATGGATAATCTTTTTTGCTTTTTCTCTTTTGAGCCAAGGGCTTTCTATTCCATAATTTATGTGGAAGCTGTCCCAAGCTATTACTTCAAGGAAGTCCTTGACACAGAAAACTGGCTACCATTTCTTTTGATAATATCAAGTATTCAGCCTTTTCCTTTCTATTTTTTAAATATGCATAATGCCTTAAATTAGATAATTTGCATTTGTATATTCAGAACTGCTCCTAACACAGGAAATGCCATAATGGCTTACTTTGAGTAAGAAAACAGGGAATGGTGGGGACTCAGCTTCCATGCCCACCCACTGGGGTAGAAGTGGCTCCCCATTCTGCTCCAGCCATTTGCCACCATATAGTGTGAGCTTGGTGTCTTCCATTTATTCAAAAGAAGCTGGAATTCCAGAGTTTTGTGAAATCTTCATTTTTTAAAATATTAATTTGTTATTTAAAAACCCTTTCTGGCTGAGTGCCACCTTTGTGCTGCCAATTAAAATTTAAAATTCTTTCGTCTGACCCTACAGATTTTCAATGTGAAAGTGTTTTTAGGTTTTTAATAAGCTTTTTCTATGCCAAGGCAACATTTCATGGACATATTCTACCTGGAAACTGTTTGCATGTAAACACACCATACATGGTGCAAGAAGCTGTGTGAGCTCTTAGGAATAAAATTCCAAATGCAATCTATTTCAATACAGAAAAGCCTCTCACTCTAGATATGATAGGAAAACTTGGACTTTATAATCATGAGAGACTTCTCACATTTCTTTCTCGTAAAAATTGAGCAAAAATACTACCTGATACATGTGATGAAAGAATTCCTAATAAACAGAATTACTCAGTTAATCAAGTGTCTCAGACATAATAAAGCAATCAAACAAATGAAAGTGCTCTTCACAGACAGGAGTGAAGAACTTAAGCAGTTTAATTAAGTAATTTAAAACTGACGTGACGGTCCTAACAGGTTTGGCTCAGTGGATAGAGCATCGGCCTGCGGACTGAAAGGTCCCAGGTTGGATTCCGGCCAAGGGCATGTACCTTGGTTGCGGGCACATCCCCAGTAGGAGGTGTGCAGGAGGCAGCTGATCCATGTTTCTCTCTCATCAATGTTTCTAACTCTCTATCCCTCTCCCTTCCTCTCTGGGAAAAATAAATAAAATATATTAAAAAAACAAACAAACTGACATGATGAAAAATTTGAGGCTGTCACTGCTTATATGACATTTTGAAAAAGGTCGTCTTAATACTGTGCTCATCTATAAAGCTGGAGTGTGATTCTCATTTCACAGTTTTAAATAAAACAAATTATTAAGTATTCATTGCTGAGAGTATAATCATAGTTCAGTGAATGTTAATTATTTTTCTATTTTAGAGGAGAATTTGATATTTGATCTTCCCCAGACCATTTTGGATCAACTCTTAGGACTTTATTTTCAAAATTGAATGGTATTTAGTTTATCTAATGTTCATTCATAACAGTATTATTCAAGGTAGCCAAAGGTGGAAGCAACCAAGTATCTGCTTAGAATGGAAAAAAATTGTGACACATGCTGTAACATGGATGAACCTTGAGGACATTACACTAAATGAAATAAGCCAGTCACAGAACGACAAATACTGTATGATTCCACTTTCATGAGGTACCTAAAGCAGTCAATTTCATAGATAGAAAGCAAAATGGTAGTTGCCAGGGGCTGAAGGGAGAAATGGAGAGTTGCTTAATGAGTAGTTTCAGTTTTGTAAAATGAAGAAAAGTTCTGGAGATGGGTTGCACAACAATGTAAATATATTTAACTTTACTCAACTGTACACTTAAAATATGGTTCAGATGGTTAATCTTATATGTATTTTACCAAAACTAAACAAACCAAAACCGTAACAATCTCTGGTTTCTGAGAACACTAGATTATACTGCAAAAAAAAAAAAAGGATGCAGTTTCCTTTGAAATCTATGCATCAAAAGCATACTTCAAGTGTATTAAGAGAGCTCTCTATTCAAAATCTCCTACCTGTACATTTATACAACATGCCCGTCATAGTTCCAGCTGCTACTGTATTGAGGTCATCTTCTGCACCTCGTGTTTTCTCAATGATGACACCAAATGCACTATAAAGCAAAGCTACAGGGGAAATGGAACTGATCAATAATAAAATGGTGATTAAAAGTCAGTATAGAAATTATACTTAGATAAATGTATCCTACAGTCATCATTCTGTAAGTATTCAAAGGTATACAGAGTGATCACTCAGCCATTCTGTTCTACCCAGACTTTCTTAGATTTAGCATCAAAGTTCCCATGTACCGGGCACACCAGTTGAAAAATTGCTGCATTAACCCTTTTTCTTACCCGTTCTCAAAACTGCCACATTTGACCCCTCCACCCCACCCTATGTGACACTCCCCATGCCCCCGCCTTGCCCCCTGCCAAGCCTGCATGACTTGTAACCTGTAACGATTACCCTGGGCCCACTTTCCCATGTAATCTTTGTCCTCCTACCCAATATAAGCAGCTGGCTTATGGTGGAGGGCAGAGCAGATTTTTGTGGATGACCTGCTGCTTTCCCGTGCTGCCAGCAGGATCACTTGAACACTGTTTGTAATAGCAAAAGCCTGGCAACAACTAAAATGCCCATCAGGAAGAGACTGGTCCAGAAGGGGACTTTCCATATGATGGAATGCTATGTGTACTCACTTAAAACAAAAAGGAGGACGAGCTATAGTCACTAATCCAGGCATGTGACTATGACTCCGGATATGCAAAGAAGGTATTTGGAAAGGTTCATGATTTTATTTGGTGTCGTGCTTGGATAGGAGAGTACTTAGAGGGTTTTTTTTAGAGTTTTAAAAGATTTAAAACATTCAGAAATGGTATACCAGATGGTATTAGCACCTTGGGATTACTTTATGTAGCTCCTGTTCTTCCTAGAATTTAAAACATTTTGGTTGATCAAATTGTTCATGATATGTGTACATTCTTTCTTTTCATTAATAATTTATTATCAAGTGAAATCTTTACTTACCCAGAGAACCTAGAGTATTAGCCCAAAGTGCCCCTTGCCTCGTCACCATGTTCAAAATCCTACAAGGGCAGAAAGACAAAGAATCTGTATTTAGAATCATTATTTCCTCTAGTAATGTGAAAAACCATAATTGCAGCTACTTAAAAAGTATAAATCCAATTCCAAGTTTTCTTCATGAAAAAATCTTAATACCTCCTCAGAATTCAGTAAGAATGGCTTTTACTTTATAGAAATATAAATGAAGGTATGTTAAAAACGTCAACCATTGTGAGTAACAAGTAAGGAAATTTCTTACATATATAAGATTATTAAATATATATCAAACACATAAAGGCTTTGAATGACAGCCTGAAATGTATTTTTATAAGAAGTTTACAGACACACAAAAAGAAAAAAAGTTTATAGAAACTGACATGCCATTATAATGAACAAAGTAGCATACAATTAAGGTTTTTTTGGGGGGGAGGGGTATATATTGAGAATATTAAGTAGAATCAAATCATGGAATATTATAGAACATAGGGCAGAATTAAAAATAAATATGTACTCGAAGAGAAGGAAAAAACAAACCAGAGCCCACGGAGAAAGCACGCTGTGTCTGCTCCCACACTAGAACTAAGCAGCCAAAGTGGATGCTTAGCACACTCTCAAGGAAGCATAGTTCTGCCTTGCACCAGTGCCTGATGCCACCAGAACAGTGACAGAGGCAACTGGAGGAAGAAGACAGGACATTTCTCTCCCAGCAGTGTAACACCATCACAGGAACGATCTGTCTGGACAGCTGACTACTGCTGGGTATTAGAGAATTATAGCAGCAAACAAAAAAAATAACTAAATATTAATGCTCAATAATAAAAATTTGTGTTACTTATAAAAGGTTGTTTATAGAGAAGTATATTGTTTCAATTAATTATTTACCAATATATTTCAAGTTTAGCACGTTGTTTTTACATTTGTCACAAGCCTTTTAAAAAAATTGTTAAACAGAAACCACTCTTTTTTTGATTGATTTTTAAACAGAGGAAGAGAGGGGAGAGAGAGACGGAAACATCAATGTGAGAGAGAAACATTGATTGGCTGCCTTCGTCACGTACCCGGACGAGAGATCAAACCCGCAACTTGGGTTTGTGCCCTGACCAGGAATTGAACCGATGGCCGGAAAGTGCATTGGACAACACTCATCAGCTAAGCAACACTGACTAGGGCTGTCACAAGCTTTAAAAACTATTAATTTTCATAGTATTGTACTGCTGATAGCACTGCAAATTGGTAAAATTCTTTGGGATGCAACTGGGCACCGTACCTCCACATATTGGGCCTTTACTTCTAACTTTAATCATCTCTCAACAATCTTTATAGGCAGACAGTACGGAAAGCTTACCTAAGATTACAAAATAGCAAGTAATAGAACTAGGCTTTGAAGATACATAGATCTGTCTAGCTTGAAACCCTATCTTCTTTCCATTTTTAAATGCTGTCTCCTCATCTAGGAAGAGCAGCATGATTATGTAAAAAATGGTGTGAAAGATTTCTAAAAAATGAAAACTAATTTGACTCTCTAAAAATTAATAACATTACTGTTTTAAAAAACAAAGGTTATTTTTTCTAGATCTTCCAAATTAATATTTAATGATAGAACACTGGGAATTAGTTTCATAATAATATGGAAGGGAAGAAGGAGATGGGACATAATTGGTCTTGGTTGATGGCTATTGAGCATAAGTTATGGTTCACAGGTGTTCACTGTACTATTTTGCCTACTTTTATATACATTCCAAATTTTCCACAACACAAAAAGTAAAAAAAAAAAAATTATCGGAGTAAGGAACAAATATTAAGGATATATACACACACACACACACACACACACACACATATATGTGTGTGTGTGTGTGTGTGTGTGTATGTATATATATATGAATAGTCAAGAATCTGGGCTAGTAAAGCAAGGGCAACGATCAACACAGTAACAGGAATTTACCTTCAAATTCCCCAAGGTCTAATTCTAGCAGACACCTGCTGCCACCTGCTGGTTAAACAACAAATAATGCAGATGGAGTTTCAAGTGTTCTATGTGAGCCATTGAAGAATATATGTAGCCCAGCTGGTGTGCTCAGCAGTTGAGTGTAGACCCAGGAACCAACAGTTGCTGGTTCAATTCCCTGTCAAGGCACATGCCCAGGTTGTGGCATCACTCCCCGGTAGGGGCTTTGCAGGAGGGAGCCGATTGATGATGTTCCTCTCTCATACATGTTTCTCTCTCTCTATTCCTTTCCCTTCCTCTCTCTCTCTAAAAAAATTAGTAACAATAAAAAATAAGACCAACAAGACTCTCATTAAAAAAAAGAATATATGTATACTGTGATTTCACTCATATAAAGTATAAAAACATACAAAACTAAACAATATATTAAGGGAATGTCAACAGGGACTGGTCATGTTTATTTCTTAAGCTGGGTGAAGATATATATTATATACACTTTCTGATCTTCTAATTTTCTTAGAAAACTGTCTTATTCCTTCTGGAACTACCTCTAAGTTCTAGGAATTTGATTTAAATTTTCTGTAGCGTTCCACTTCAGAAGTGGAAAGTGAAGTTAAATTCAAGTCAAGTAATAGCGAATCTAGCAATCACTCTTATGTCCTTTTTATTTCTTCACTACCCTATGGTTCTGGATGCCCCTGAACAATCCAAATAATATACTAATCATTCAAAAATTTGAAAAGCAGGTTTTGTAGGCCTGCAGAATGAAACAGGTGTAGCTGAGAAGTTAGGTTGGGGTAGCACTAGCTGACTGAGGGACACTGGCTCAAAAATCATTCCTTTTAAAAGCTTAAGAGTTGCCCTAACCGGTTTGGCTCAGTGGATAGAGCGTCAGCCTGCGGACTCAAGGGTCCCAGGTTTCATTCCGGCCAAGGGCATGTACCTTGGTTGCGGGCACATCCCCAGTAGGGGGTGTGCAGGAGGCAGCTGATTGATGTTTCTAACTCTCTATTCCTCTCCCTTTCTCTGTAAAAAATCAATAAAATATATATTTAAAAAAAAAAAAGCTTAAGAGTCACTAACTCGATTTCTTAGTTCCTTTTATTTTGACTAAGAAAAAAGATTGACCAAAAAGTTTATCAATACTCTCAACATTTGTAATCACAAGATAGTGCTCATCAAGCCGACAGAGTAGTGGTTAATAGTCAACATTACCACATCAGATGATTACATGAGACTTACTGTACGTTTCTTGGTTTGGACCAGGCCATGTTCTGGGTTTCTTTCAATCCTAGCCGTAGACCGTTCATTGCCCCAAATGCAGCCCCTAGTAAATCATAGTTAACAATTCATCCAAATAATACATCTTTATATTTAAAAACAACTGCACTTTTGATTCTTTTTCATTTTTTATATAACAGAAAAAGATGAAAAACGTAAAATATTCTAATTGTTTTTGATTTTAACCATCTTTGACTACTTAGATTAAGAACACTTAAAAATTTATTACACCCACCTGTCATACAACATCCTCCAATGGTGAAAAAGGCCAGTTCAAATCTGCCCCGGGTTTTATTAGCTCCGGTTGGTAAAATAAACTCATCTGTATCCTAAAGGAGTAATAATGAAAACCAAGCTGAGCTCCTCTCAAGACAGAGTACTTGCAGAGTGTTTTTTAATTTGTTAAAGTAGTTTTTCACAGAAAGTATCATCTTAAATTAACTAAAACTTAACTATACTTAAACAAAAATAAAACTTTCTGCAACAACAGCAACATCTAAATCAAAGTGAAATGAAATATACAACATATATAGTTATGCACCTGCATTCTTAGGAAGGATCCTTGTTCAGAACTGTGCTTCTCAATGTAAATTTTACAGATTGTATGTAATTTGCCTTATCTCTACATATAAAAGCCTAAGCGACCGTTATGACCGAACTACCGGAACGACCGACCAGTCGCTATGACGCACACTGACCACCAGGGGGCAGACGCTTAAAGCAGGAGCTGCCCCCTAGTGGTCAGTGCACTCCTACAGCCAACCGCTTGGGGCCCCTCCCCCCAGCCGGCCGGCCCCCATCAGTCCCTGTTGCTAAACCATTCAGAGAGACCTGCTTCTGGGTTGGTGTTTCATACATAGCAGAGCAGCTCCCTCACTGCAATCTAATGAAAGTCAGCCCTCGACACAAGGATTTGTCTCGCTCCCTTCCCTGGGAGCTGCCTGCCTGCCGCAGTGGTGGTGCGGCAGCGAGGGAAGGAGGAGGGGGGAGAGGTGGGGTGTCGATGTCCGCATCCGTTCTTTCTGCCGGGCGACTGTCGCCTCCTCTCCCCACCCACCGGGGCCTTTGGGTTCTGGGCTGGGATGGGGAACCAGGTGTGGGTTGTGGTGGACACGGCCCCTTTCCCAAGGGGGCTGAGGGCTGGCTCCCTCCTTGGGGCCAGCGGCCAACCTCCCATGGTCCCCTGCCCCCATGCACGAATTTGTGCACCGGGCCTCTGGTGTAATAATAAATTTGAAGCAACAGTGCAACAGAGTTTAGGAAGAACAGCCCTAGAAAAAGGTAAAGTGAAAGCTATGAGAAGTAACCATTTACAGAATAACAGTCTGAAAGGAGAAAATAACTTTCACTCCATATCAAACACCATTTTATGATGTGTAAGAGCAAATGATCATTAAAAAAAATGAGCAGAAACTATAAAAGCACAACAGTTTGGATCAGTTATGCAAGGGCAAAATTACCTTAATAATTATTCCTTTGATAATCTTACAAAGAAAGCTATAGACCTCTTTCCAATAAATGCATACACAAAATTTGGTATGAACCGAACCCTAGGATAAGAAATGCTACTCTAAGAACACTATATGATTAATTGTGCAATAAAATACATTCTTATGAAGGACATGTTCAATCCATTTTTCCAAGCTCTCCACACAAAAATGATTAGAAAAAGCCCCTGAAGGACAGTACATACACATTTAGCAACTCTCTAACAGGTCCCTTTGTGAAATGCTGACCTTTGTTTAGTAAGTGCATTCCCAATTAGGAAAATCATAGCTCTGCATTGGATTTTGATTTTTGCCTTATGCATATATTCTCAGCAAAAATTGCACAAATAAGCAAACACATCTACTCTTATCACACAAAAATGGTTGGTTGGACAATAAGCACACACTGAATAGATGCCATACCATGAATAATATTCATACACTAGAGGCCCAGTGCACGAAAATTCATGCACTGGTGTGTGTGTGTGGGAGTCCCCTAAGCCTGGCCTGCCCCCTCTCACAGTCCAGGAGCCATCAGGGGATGTCCTACTGACGGCTTAAAACCAGTGCAGAGCTATGATTTTCCTAATCAGGAATGCACTTACTAAACAAAGGTCCCACAGGGAGCCACAGTCTGGCCTCCATTTGCGTGAGGCGACCGGGCCAATCAGGGGAAGGTGCTGCCCCCATCACCCCGCCACCGCTGCTGCAGCCTGCCCTCGGTCCTTGAAGCCCCCTCGGCTTTGTCTGGAAGGACGGTCGGCTATCAGGTCTAATTAGCATATTATGCTTTTATTATTAGATTATTAGACAGTTTTGTAAATTTGGGGTGCTTCCTGAATTTCAAATTAATGACTTAATTTTAAATTATGCTTCTGGTTTGAGATTTTTAGAAATGTGACATTTGATTTGATGAGGTAAGTAATTATCTTCCAATCAAAAAATGAGTCATTAATTACAAATAGTTAATTTAAAAAATGGCCGTGATTAACATTAGTAAGTACAAATGCATGTCATTACCAACTTACTCTTTGTTAGGGTCAACTATACTAAAAAGACGACGAGGACTGAAAGCAAATATACTTCATTCATATACAGTGACTTGAAAATAATGTGATGGTTACTTGTCACTGGGGCTTTTAAAGTTAATAAAAATGTACTGTTTCACCCTAGCCCGTGTGGCTCAGTTGGTTGGAATGTCATCCTGTACACTGAAAGGTCTTTGGTTTGATCCCTATTTGGGGCGCATGCAGGAGGCAACTGTTGATGTTTCTCTCTTCTCTTTCTAAAACAAACAAACAAACATGTCCTCAGGTGAGGATTAAAAAAAAAAAAAGTACTGTTCCATATAACAAAGCTTTTCAAAGATTTTGAGGGAGTAGACCCTGGTCAAATTACATTAATTTGGGTTGGGGGAGGAATCCATGAAATTAAAGCTCTTGGTTTCTATAAAAATATGATTACCAATTTTTCCCTACTTAATTGTCTTCATACCCTTGTTGAAAACCTGACTATAAATGTGAAGAGTTTATTTCTGGCCTTTCAATTTTATTTTGTTGATCTATATATAGAGCTATCCTTGTGCCAGCACCACAATGTCTTAATTACTGTAGCTTGGGAATCAGTTTTGAAATTGGGATGTGTGAATGCTCCAATTTGCTCTTCTTTTCAAGATTGTTGGCTATTTTGTATCCTTTGTATTCTCATATGTATTTTAAAATCAGCCAATTTCTGCAAAAAAGCCTGCTGAGATTTTGATATAGAGGCTGTTGAATCTGCAGGTTGATTTGGAAATTACTGCTATTCTAACAATATTAAACCTTCTAAGAAACTGGAATACCTTCAATTTATTTGTCTTAAGTTTTTTCAATAATGTTTTATAGTTTTCAAAGTACAAATTTTGCATTTTTATTGAATTTAGCCCTACATATTTTATCTTTTGATATCATTGTAAATGGAATTGTTTTTGCACTTGCATTTTTGTGGTGTCCATTGCTATTATATAGAAATATAATTAATTAGGTATACTGATCTTGTGTCATTCTACATTGCTGAAATTCTAAATTAAAACTAAGTTTTTTGTGGTGTCCTTAGGATTTTCTTTCTTTTTTAAATATATTTATATTGATTTCAGCGAGGAAGAGAGATAAACATCAATTATGAGAGAATCACTGATAAGCTGCTCTTGCAAGCACCCTACTAGGAATCCAACCATGATTTCCTGGTGAATAGGTTGACACTCAAACACTGAGCGATGCCGGCCGGAACCTTAAGATTTTCCATACACAAGATCATGATATCTTCAAATAGATAGTTTTACTTCTTCCTTTATCAATCTGGATGCCATTCATTCTGTTGCCTAATTGCCCTGGTAAGACAATGTTGAAGACAAGGGAAGAGAGTGGATATCCTTGTCTTGTTCCTTATTAGTGGGAACATATTGAGATTTTCACCATGTTAGCTTTGGCTTTTTTCCCCACATGAGTTCTCTCTCTTTGGATTTTTTTAAACTCCATTTTTATTGTTGACACTATTACAGATGTCCCCATCCCCACTCCCATCCCTTTGTCCACCTTCACCCAGTCTCATAGCTTTGGAAATTTTGATTAAAAAAACCGTATCAGATTGAAGACATTTAACCGCCTAAAACTCCACTAAGTCACAACCTGTGCTCATTCAAACGGCACCTGTGCAGCCTTCGCTTTAAAAGTAACACTTTTAAAAGTTGGGTTGACCCTGATGAGCGAGGCTCAGTGGTTGAGCGTTGACCTATGAACCAGGAGGTCATGGTGCAATTCCAGGCCTGGGTTGCAGTCTCCATCTCAAGTAGGGGGCATGCAGGAGACAGCCCATAAATGATTCTCATCACTGGTGCTTCTCTGTCCCTCCCTCTTCCTCTCTGAATCAATGAATACATATATTTGTAGAAAATTGGGGTGAAATATATACTACACACTTCACTGTTTTCAAAAAAAAAAAAAAAAAGATTGAAGACATTCCCCTTTATTCCTAGTTTATGTGTGTGTGTGTGTGTGTTTTTAAAACACAAAGGAATGTTGAATTTGGTCAAATGCCTTTTCTGCATCTATTGAGCTAATCGTGTAGTTTCTTTTCTTTGCTGATATGGCACAGTACAATGATTTTCAAATGTTAAATCAACCTTGCATTCCTGAGATAGCTAACAAAACTCTTTGAAGTTTCTTGATCAGTTTAATCCAATATCCTAATAAAAAACCAACCAACCAAAAAACCCAAAACAGCTCAGTTTGAGTGGCTCAATTGGTTGAGCATCGTCCCGAGCACCAAAAGGTTGCTGGTTTGATTCCCGGTCACGGCACATATCTAGTTTGTGGGCTTGATCCCCAGTGGGGGGCAGTATACGGGAGGCAGCAATCAATGCTTCTCTCTTTCTAAGCATGTCCTCTGGTGAGGATTAAAAGAAAAGAACAAAACGAAACCCAAAACAATAGAATATTGAGGCCAATGTGTAAACCTTAAAATGTATAACCCTAATTTCAAGTGTTCATGCATAGACTTATGAATAATATTAATAATCTGATCTAATAAAATAAACTCAAGTAATTAAGTACTTTTTTATATATGTAAGGATTTAAGATTTCATTTAAAGATTCCCAGGTTATACTTCCTCATTTGTGTTTAACTTACTATTAATAATTTCTTATAACTTTACTAAGGCCCAGTGCACAAAATTCGTGCACTGGTAGGGTCCCTAGGGGCTGCCAGCTGGGTACTCCTTCCCTTCCCGCAGCTGGCCCTGCCTATGGTCGAACTCCCGGTTGAGGGGACAATTTGCATACTACGCTTTTATTACATAGGATAACAAATCATGCCAATATTTTTACTGGAATGCTATTTATTTTTCTTTTATTTTTTCCATCACCATTTGTCCTTCCTATACCCTTACATCCCTTCTCCTTCCCACCGCAATCACCACAGTTTTCCATGTCCACAAGTTCTCTTTTTGCTCAATCCCCTAACCACCAGAGCTATCTGCTTGCTTTCTTTAAGTCTGTCTCTATTTTGCTTGTTAGATCAGTTTGTTCATTAAATTCCACATGAGTAAAATCATATGGTACCTGTCTTTTTCTGAATGGCTTATCTCACTTAGCATGATATTCTCCAGGTCCATCCATGCTGTTGCAAAGGGCAAAATTTTCTTCCTTTTTACGGGTGAGTAGTATTCCATTGTGCAAATGTACCATAGTGGTTTTATCCACTCATCTACTGATGGATACTTGGGCTGCTTCCAAATCTTGGCTATTGTAAATAACGCTGCAATGAACATAGGGATGCATATATTCTTTCAAATTAGTGTTTTGGGTTTCTTCAGATAAATTCCCAGATGTGGAACTGCTGGGTCATAAGGCAGTTCCATTTGTGTTGTTTTTTTAAACCTCACCTGAGGATATTTTTCCATTAATTTTTAGAGAGAGGGAAAGACAGAGAGGAGTATCGATGTGAGAGAAACAAATCAATTGGTTGCCTCCTGCATGCATCCTGATCAGGGCCCAGGCAGGAAGCTGCAACTGAGGTACGTGCCTTTCACTGGAATTGAACCTGGGACCCTTCGATCTATAGGCCGACACTCTATCCACTGAGCCAAACTGGCTAGGGCCATTTTTAATTTTTTAAAAATGTATTTTTATTGATTTCAGAGAGGAAGGGAAAGGGAGAGAGAGATAGAAACATCAATGATGAAAGAGAATCATTGATCGGCTGCCTTTTGGGGATCAAGCTGCATCTCAGGCATGTGCCTTGATTAGAATCGAAAGCGGGACCCTTCAGTCCGCAGGCCAATGCTCTATCAACGAAGCCAAACCAGCTAGGATGGAACAAAATATTTTTATATCATGCATTTGATAAGGGGACATAATATTCAGAATATATAGAAAACTCAACAAAAAAAGACCCAATTTAAATGTGGACAAAGGACTTGAACAGACATTTCTCCACAGGAGATATAAATGCAAATCAAAACTACAATGAGTTACTACCTCATACTCATTAGGATAGCTATGATAAAAAAACAAACCCAGAAAATAACAAGTGTTGGCTAGGATATAGAGAAATTGGAGCCCTTGAACACTGTTGGTGGGAATGTAAAATAGCATAGCTGCTGTGGAACACAATATGGCAATTTTTCAGAAAATAACGGATTACCACATGATGCCGCAATTCCACTTCTGGCTATATAATAAAAAAAAAAATTAAAAGAAGGGTCTGAAAGAGGTATTTATATTTATACACCATGTTTATAGCAGCATTATTTGCAATAGCTAAAACATGGAAGCAATACAAGTGTCACGGACAGATGAATGGATAACCAAAATGTAATATTATTCAATGGAATGAGATGCTAAATAAAATAAGCCAGTCACAAAAAGACAAATACTATATGATTCCATTTATTTGAGGTACTTAGAGTATACAGAATCAGAGACAGAAGGGTGACTGTCAGGGGTTGGGGGGAGAGAGTAGAATGAGGAGTTATTTTGTAATGGGTACACTAGTCCTCCCTTATCCATGGGTGATCTGTTCCAAGACCCCCAGTGGATGCCTGAAACTGTGAATAGTACTGAACTCTATACCTGCTAGGTTTTTTTCCTGTACTTATGACAGTTTAATTTATAAAATAGGCACAGTAAGAGATTAACAACTACTAATACAACAGAACAATTTTAACAATACACTGTATTAAGTTATGTGAATGTTGTGGGTCTTTCTCTCTCTGATAACAGAAAAGGCTACTAAGTGACTAAGCCAGCCGTGGGCAAACTACGGCCCGCGGGCCGGATCCGGCCCGTTTGAAATGAATAGAACTAAAAAAAAAAAAGACCGTACCCTTTTATGTAATGATGTTTACTTTGAATTTATATTAGTTCACACAAACACTCCATCCATGCTTTTGTTCCGGCCCTCCGGTCCATTGTGGCCCTCCAGTCAAAAAGTTTGCCCACCCCTGGACTAAGAGGAGGGTAGCATATATAGCGTCAATCTGCTGAACAAAGGGATGATTTATGTCCTGTGCTGTATGAAGTGGGAGATTTCATCACATTATTCAGCATGGCCTGTGATTTAAAATTTATGAACTGTTTGTTTCTGGAATTTTTAAATTTAATATTTTCAAAGTTAATCATGGGTAACTGAAACCACAGAAAGTGAAACTGCGGGAAAGGGGGGACTACAGAGTTTCATTTTTTACAAGATAAAAGAGTTATGGATATAGTAGGTGGTGATGGTTGTACAAATGTATTTAGTGACAGTGAGCATAACACTTAAAAAGTTATATAGCAAATTTTGCTAGTGTTATTTTACCACAATTTAAAAAATATGGGGGAAAAAACCAAACCCCAAAACCTTTTAAAGAGATTTAATCAACTAATGTCAGGGAGAGTTGCAAGCCAAATCCCTAGGGTTTATGAGAAAAAAAGGTGAATAGATACCAGAGAACTGGTGCTTCCAAAAATACATATTACAGATCAGGTCAGCATAAATACCTAACATTTAAAATTTTTTTAATGGTAAGAACCTAACTAGTAAAACCATAAAAGGACTAGTCTTAATCTTACCTGCACGAGATACCGTGGATCCACATTTAAATAAGGAGAGAGAGGATTCATACCAGTCACTAGAAGAAAACAAAGCATCATATTGCAACAAAAAGTTTAAAGTTATTTAATTTAGCATTAATTGTGCTCTTGTTTCATGTTTTGCAATTCTGACTCACAGACTCACTGAATGTGATATTTCCTCTCACTTTTCTATGCTTATCCTTCTTGTCTGGCAGTTTTGGGGCTACCTCCTCCTCCTGCCTTCAATCCCAAACCGGGTATTACAGTGGTGGCTCAGGCACCCACACATATAAGGAAGCACAGCTCAGGTCAATTATAAAGCTAATTTCTTTCTACTTTGCTACAAGAGTGCTTGCCAACTGTACAAATTGCAAAATGAAACTGACAAGAAACCAAATAATTCCATGGGAGAAACAGTGTTTGGGCTGTGTGCTGTGAATAAATATTTCATGGCAGTTCCATGTTGACAGTTGCTGACAGAGTTGATTTACTGTGGCAGGGTAGAGAATTTTCTGGCCATTACCACAGGGATGGGGGTTAGGACGAGAGAAAATGGAAACGCAAGAGGGCCAGACTGGAATCCCACTAACTGAAGTTAGAAAAATCTATCAGGGAAAATAAACTTTCTCACATTTTAAATTTAATCTTTGGATCCTTCTGTATCTTAGTTGATTGTTCACAAATCTATGCATTTCCTATGACTCTGGTCTTTTCACCAACTGAAAGTCCTAGTAGTTCCGATTCAATAGCTATCTTGTATTGTGTCACTTACCACTGTCTTTATTGACACCATCCTAGTCCAACCATTAAATCTCACTACACTACAGTAGTCCCTTCAATTCACTTAAAAAACAAAATCCTCATCTAAGGATATTTTTCCATTGATTTTTAGAGAGAGTGGGAAAGAGAGAGAAACACATTGATTTGGTTGCCTCCTGCACGCGCCCTGAGGGCCCAGGCCTGGGAGGAGCCTGCAACCCAACCGAGGTAGTGCCCTTGACCCACTCGAACCCCGGACCTTTGATTCGCAGGGATTCACAGGCCGACGCTCTCTCCACTGAGCCAAACCCTATCCACTGGGCCAAACAGGCTAGGGCCCTTCAATTCACCTTCTACAGAAACGGAAATCAGCCTGAATGGCGGCCATTCACACTTACAAATGCAAACTCCTCACCATGGCTTACAAACACTACATTAGCTGCCACTCCTTGCCCCTCTGTTCAGCATCTCCTACCGCTCCAACTCTCTTGCAATTTTGTAGACACATCTAACAGTTGTTCCTCCAACATGCCGAGTTTGTTTTCTTCTCAGGACACAGGTACTAGACATTTTCAGTGGCAGGTCTGCCTCCTCCCAGGCATTTGTATTCAGGCCACAGCCCAGATATCAACACCCCTGAGCTGCTTTCCCTGACCCACTCTCAAATGGCTTCCTGCTTCCAGCACCATCTCATGATCTGGCTTTGCTGCCTTTACGCACACTTAACTCTAACCGAAGTGTTTTTATTTTTTACTTTGCTCACTTCAGTAGGATGTAAACTCCATGAAAGCAGCGGCCTTACAAAGAAAAAAAAAAGAAATTAACTGCTTAAGTCCATTAAAGTCACTGGCTCGTTGTAGGTGTTCACCCTTCAATCCCTCCCTCAGCCTTCAACCTTAGTCCAGTTAACATGACAACGCTTCGCCTCTGTGCTCCAACCCTCAGACTCCTACGATGTACACATAAACTGTGTTCTAGATGCAGTTTTGACACAGGTGACACTAGGAACTGGAAAAGGTTTTTGTTGTTGTTGTTCTTGAGCATTAAAGGACCTAGAGAAATACAGAATTATCAAAAAGAAAACAGTTTTATCACGCCATTATCCTCCACCAAGTCCCTACTATCTTTAAGTCCGAGTTCTCCTCATCCCACGCGTCCGGAGTGTCTGGAGTCCATATTCCCGGGAACGAGGAGGGACAAAGGCACGGTGTTCACGCTTCTGCACCTCCGCCTCGCACACGCCTTTCCCGAAAGTCTTTCTTCCCGCAGGGGACCTGCAAGGTCAGCTCACCTCCAGCCCCTCCCGGGTCCCGGCTCCTCTCTCGGTCGCCTCCCTGTACTATTGAGGTTCCGACCGGACGGCGACTTTGTGGGGTAGAAGAGGCGGCTTTGCGCTAAAAGGGTTTCTACGGGATCCTGTTTGGAATACATTTACGTGCAGAGCGGGGCCCTCCTCTTCACGTAGGGCCAAACACACAGCCCACCAAACGAGGAGATAAACGTGTGGTAGGAGAGAGAAGGCACGAGGCTCCGATACGGAAGGAAGGAAACGTGCAACATCTCTGAGCCCTCGTCAACTCCAGAGAGCTTGTCGGGGACCCATGGCCCCCAACATCTGCTCGGTCTTGACGGGGCGGCAGAGACACACCAACCGCACCACGGCCACTGCGGACCGTGAGCACCAACAAGTAAGAGAGGGCAGGGCAGCCGCACGCCGGGCCGAGTCGCAGAAACGATCGCGAGCCGCGCGCGGTACTTACGCGGGACTCCGGCCAAATCCGCGTGCGAGTAACCAGCTCCGCCGGCTCCGAAAAAGCCGGCCAACCCCCCGGTGGTCTTGTTGCCGCTTCCCCCGCCGCCCTCCATGGCCTCGCCGCAAACTGCCCGTCAGCCCCTCACCACCGCCTCAGGCCGCGGTCGCCCGTTCGGCCGTCGCTCTTCAGTAACAGCGGGGCGACGCGCGTTACCACCGACTCCTTCACACGCTGACCTTCCGGGCGCCGGTGTCCGCTGAGCCTCATACTTCCGCTTTGCGACGTGGTACGACCCGGAAGCCGGCCGCGCCTGACGGCAGTTTTCCGGTGGTGGGAAAGTGAACGGAGCCCGAGTCGGGGCGGCGCATCCTGAGGCAGGCGGGTTCCCCGTGGAAGAGGGAAGGCAGGCGGCTGGGGAGGGCCTGGCTTGGGCAGCCGGCGGAGCAGCAGCTGCAGAAGCAGGCAGCGCAGAGAGGGGATGGTGCCCGGCGGCGCCGAGAAGGAGGCGCAGTCCGTCCCGCAGGGTTAGTGAACGAGGCTGTCCGCCCGGGCCGGCCGGGGACTGTGCGGTGCGGGTCCCAGCATGAGTTCGGGCCCCGCCTGTGAGCCCCGCATCAAGCGACCCCGCTGGGGCGCCTCTGAAACTTCTCCGCCGGCCGCCTCCGACGCCCGGAGCTTCCCCGGCGGGCAGAGGCGCGTCCTCGATCCCAAGGACGCTGCTGTGCAGTGCAGGGTCCCACGGTCCTCGCCAGGCGGCGTCCCGGGGTGGGCGGGACCGCACCGAGGCAGCACCACCTCGCTTGGTACGTGGGGGAAATAAAGATCTTTGCCCTTCGCCTCGGCCCCAACCTCCTCTTGGTCTCCGTGAGGACCCAGGGACTCCAGTCACCCCTTCTGGTCTAGTGTGCACCGCTCCGAGGTCCCCTTACTGAGCCACGAAGGCCACCGGTGGGGAAATGGGGCCACATTTTTCCTGTCGTGGTGTGAGAAGCCCTGATGAGCCGTCACAGGGCGGAAAATGACAGGAGACTCCACCCGTTTGCTTTACTCGGGTTTGACGTGAGAAATTGTCTTAGGCTTTAAGGAGGTGTAATTGTGTATGTGAACCTTCAACCTTTAGATTGAAAGAAACTATAACGCAACTTCCCTCAATTCAGATTCTGGCTCCAGGGGTGCAGAGCTGTTCGTTTTAGCCGGTGCTGTGCTCGACTCTGGCCTGCGGGGTTGAACCAGAGTCATTTGGCCTCTGTCTTCAGGCCCTAAAACTTGTCAGGAGAGAGAGACAGTTACATAATAAAGGGTAATGGGTGTTTTGATAGATGGCAGGAATCCCTAGTCCAGTCTGGGATCAAGGACAGTCTCCCAGAAGATGAGATGCTCACTCTGAGGCCTGAAGAATGAGGTGAAGAGGAAGTAAGGAGGCACTCCCCGCAGGCAGCGGATACATACTGTCAAGGGGGAGAGAGTAGTGAGAGAGGAGACCGAGAGCTAGGCAAAGACCAGATCATATTAGGACTTGCAGTGTTCTGCACTTTACAAGGCAAAGAGAGGCTAATAAAGGATTTTTGGTAAGGGAGTGGCTTTATCATGTATAATCTTTTTGGGGCTTGGGATAAAGGTCCCTGTGCCTGGTGTGTGGAAAATGAATGGATTGAAAGAAAGCAGAAGAGTAGGCCCAAGACCCATTAAAGGTTAATCTAGGTGGGAGATAAGATGGTTTTGTACTTAGCTGTGGGCAATAGGGAAGGGAAGAAGTGGTTCCATATAGGAGAGAATGCACTGTGTGGGTTTGTACTCAGAAGGAGTATATCTGTGCTGTAAATGAAGGTTTGGAAGTTTTTGGCATAAACATGAGAATTGATGCTATGGAAGTTAGATCATAGAAAGCATGCAGAGGAAATAGAGGTGACCTAGGACAGAAACTTTCAGAAACTACCATTTAGAGTAGACTGAAGAGAAGCAGCCAGAGAAGTAGGGGGAGAGCTGGGCTTTTGTTGTGTCATGTAGGGAAGATAGCATTTCAAAAAGGAGGTCAGGCAGTCCTCTGGTGAGTGGTGTACACTTCAATCAGGATTTAGAGCAGCGTTTCTCAACCTGCGGGTCGCGACCCCTTAGGGGGTCGAACGACCCTTTCACAGGGGTCGCCTAAGACCATCGGAAAACACATATATAATTACATATTGTTTTTGTGATTAATCACTATGCTTTAATTATGTTCAATTTGTAACAATGAAATTGGGCGTCACCACAGCATGAGGAACTGTATTAAAGGGTCGTGGCATTAGGAAGGTTGAGAACCACTGATTTAGAGGCAGTGGGGAGCAGACCTAAACTTAAGTACTGAAGGATAAGCAGGATTTGCTGTATAAATCAAAGAGAGAACAAATTATACAGGCAGCGAGAACAGCATGTGCGGAAGGTGGTAGGACTGGAGCGCAGAATAACATTAGTGTCAGGTGACCTGGGAAAGGGGAGCAAGAGCTTATCACAGACAAACGAGTGCCATTTCAACGCATTTGGACTTTGTTCTCTGATTAATGGGAAGCCACTAGAAAGCTTTTAAGAAGGGGGATATCAGTTGATTAATATTCTAGAAAAGGTTGCTTAGGCTGTGGTCTTTGGAATTTTCTAATTGTAACCCACAGTTTAAGTTTCTCCTAGCACACAGAGTAAGAAATACATGTAACCTGGTAAATATGCCATATTTATAACAAACAAGTTTTTCATGAAATAATACTTATCCTTACTATGTATGATGCATTCTTATGTTATCTGAATTATTTCATTAAAAATGTTGGTCATTTGTAGTTTATAAAACACAGAAGGTTATGACTATAAACAGGAGACCAGTTGCAAGAAATAAATGCAGTTGCAGTTGTCCAATAAGTGATGTATCTATTTTTGTGATGTTCTAATGTTGGTGCTGTTTTGAAGATGGAGGGGAAAGGATGGCTTTAAGATTTTGGATATAGATTTCAGAGGACTTGGTGAAGGGGAGAGTATAGGGGAGAGGGAACTGAGAGTGGCCTTCAGGAATTGTATCTGAGTTACTGAGAAGCTAATATGCGGTCCCATTAACTTTATCCTATACTAGAGGCCCAGTGCACAAAATTCGTGCATGGGTAGGGTCCCTAGAGGCTGCAGGCTGCCGGCCAGGGCCTCCCTTCCCCCAGCTGCCTGCTGCCACTGCTGGCTGGGGGCGGGGAGTTGGGGGGAGCCAATGCCCGCCATGTTCCACGCTGCCCCCTGGTGGTCAGCGCACGTCTAACTCCTGGTTGGTAGAACTGCCCATGGGGATAATTTGCATATTAGCCTTTTATTATCCTACTGGTTACTATGATGTGCACTGACCACCAGGGGGCAGGTGCTCAATGCAGGAGCTGCCTCCTGGTGGTCAGTGCACTCCCACAGGGGGAGCACCGCTCAGCCAGAAGCCAGGCTCACAGCTGGCGAGCGCAGCAGAGGTGGTGGGAGCCTCTCCCGCCTCCATGGCAGTCAGACATCCCCCCAGGGCTCCCCCACTGGGAGAGGGCATAGACCACGCAGAGGGGACCCCCCCCCCCACCAAGTGCTTGAATTTTGTGCACTGGGCCTCTAGTTTACAGATAAAGGAGGAAAAGTTATTTGCAGGTGGTAGGGGGCAGGCAGTCCTCACTGGTTGGATTTTCTGATTTCCCGCAGAAGATGAACCAAATTAATACTTGGGCTATACTCTATGTGTGTAAATGTTTTCAGTATATATGGCACAGGACGCCAGTTAACAAAGTGTTCAAAGTCTAAATCTATCAAAAACTGTTGTTTCAAATTTTGGAATTTTTTTATGAACTTGGTATTTAGAATTTTTATGTATAGTTATCCTAGGAGAAGTAGGCAGGATAAGGAAGTGGGTATTTTTTCAGTGTCTTCAAATTTTGTGTTATTTATTTTCCTGGGCATATTTCTTATATTGATTAAGATTTGTATATCTACATACAGTCAGAATCTAGCATGCCCTTCATATTTTGATAGGGCCTGATTTGTCCAGTTGTGTTGCTGTGGGAGCTCCCTTTTTCTGTCTGTTATAACTACCTAGTTTCTCTCCCACTCCACGGATGGTGCAAGTGGTTGAAGAGCCCTGCCCTTCAACTGCACTTCATAGTTTTTTATGAAATAATGTAGGCAGTATTTCGGTTCTACAGACTTGTCATTGTGGTACTGTTTCATGTGTATCATAGGAACCTAGCCATTGGATACCATATAATCCTTACATTTATGGAAAAAGATGTTTTAAATTCTACACTGACTCAAAAAGTGATTTTGTTTTGGGGGAACTCATTGCTGGTTAGTAATTTGAGGACTTTCTATACTTGCTGTATTTGATATAATGAAATTAAATAGAGAAGGTGGAACTATAGAAAATGTCCCCAGAATCAGGTGGTTCATCTCTTATTCCTTTCTTACTGAAACTAATTTTTTTCTGAAGCCTGATTTGCTGTACTTAAGTAAATCACTAAAGTAGTGATATTTAACATGAAATATTAAATATATATGTAATTACTTTTTTGAAAGAAACTATTTTGAAAAAGCTAAACATTTTTACTAGATAGACTGTTAGTATTTTGTGGAAGGTTCAAATTATGTGGCACTTAATTACAGTGATAAATAAGCTGTTGATTTTCATATATTTGGGACAGCATCTGTTTTGCTCATGTTGTATTTGAGGGCCATACGTAGATGAGAATGAGTCTGTGATTCAATATGCCTAGATTCATTGCAGTTTAGACCAGTAGTTGAGACTGTTCAAGATTTTGTGTTTTTTATACTAAAATATTATATACGTTTAATCTACATGAAGTACATTAACTTTTGAAAGCATGTTTATTTCTAATGCTTATATAAGTTGTGGTTTGCATTTATTTATGTTGCAGCTCTCTCTACTGAGCTACTTTTGCTACTGTCTGCCGGTCTTTTCTATCTAGTTATCTCATTGGCAACTCAAATTTAGGTTCAGAATTGACCTAATTATATTTTCCTCCTAAATCCAACCCCCCCCCCCATTTCTATTTAATGCTGTCCCATCTTTTAAGTCTGTTAAGCTTAGAACTTAGTGTCACCTTTGATTTCTATGATTATGAAGTCTGTAATGACTCACTTCTCAACTTTTCCTCTCTATTCTCACAAGGATTAGTATGGTCCTTGGCAGTAGTTCTCCAAACTAGTTGATCATCTAAATCACTTTTTGGAAAAAATACAGATTCTAGCTCCCCTCATACCTCCATCATCACACATACAGGCTCTGATTCAGTACGTGTGATGTGGCTCTGGGACCCACTTATTAGCAGCCTCCCAGTGATTCAGATGGGTTCGGGATCCACTGACCTAGATCAGTAGTTTTCTTGCTGGTTTCTACCAATGAGGTTTCTTCTTGCCCCTTCAGGTTTGCCTTCTAGGCTACATGTGTCATGCATTACTGGGACTTCCTTGTTTTGAATTCTGGAATTACAGCTCTGAGTGTGACTTTTGGCGCTTTTTTTTTTGTAATCCCAAGAGAGATACTATTCATTTGCATGTTTACAGGTAAGGAATCTGAGACACAGAGAAAGGACCTTTCATAAAGTCACATAGGAATCCCGTGGGAGAGCCAGGATTTGAATCCAGGTGGTCTGATTCTAGAGCCTATACTCTCATTCATTAGGCCATACCAACTCTTTTAGAGGCTGGTTGCTTTCTACTCTATGACAAATGTATTTATATTTATGTTCCTGTATTATTTCCCATTGCTTGAGTGTGAAAGGAGTGATTGATCTTTTCAACCCACAGAACCTAGCATAATGCCTTACATGTGTATATGCTGTTATAAGTATTTTCTCTTTGAAGGTATGTATTCATATACATTGATGTTTTGGGTGTTGTTGGTTTTTTTTTTAACAGTTTTCAAACAAAAGACTATTACCAGTTGGATGGACACTAAAGGAATCAAGACAGCTGAATCAGAAAGGTACAGAAACATATGTATATAGAGAAATGAATGGCATGATATATGGATGTTTTATCTTCTTGCTATTTTCTGTCCTTGCTTTCTCAGTTTTTTAAATCCACATTTATTCATTTTCAGTTTATAAATAGTTTTTAGAGTCTCTTATATACTTTATATTGTCCTATATACTTGAGATACAGAGGTGAAGTAGAAATAATTTTCTTTAAGATACTTGTAATGGTGATAACAGATACAGAAACACATGATTACAGTAATCTTCACTTAATGTTTCAATAGGTTTCACATCTTTAAGTGAAATGACATATAATGAAACCAGTTTTGCTGTAGGCTAAATGATAGAAACAGGAGTTAAGTTCCTATTGCATCTTATCAACATTATAACAAAACTAGAGGCTCAGTGCATGAATTCGTGCATGGGTGGGGTACGGCCACCCGGGCCCCAATCAGGGCAGATCGGAGCCAGGCCTGTTGGGAGGAGGAGACAGTGGGAGGTTGCCTGGTTGGCCTGCCCTGATGGGGGCCTGATCATGGCCGGGCTGGCTGTGGGGAGGGGCTTAGGGTGATCGGCTGGCAGGCCCTGCCCCTGATTGGGGTGGGGCGAGCCGATTGGGGGGTCAGTAGCCGGGGAAGGGGCAGGAGGAGGAGCTGGGCAGGAGGAGGGGCTGCAGGAGGTTGGCTAGCTGGCCCCGCCCACTATTGGGATGGGGGGCAACCAGGGGCGGGGCCAGCCAGAGGGAGGGGCTGCGTGCTGATGGGGGTAATGGGGGCCCATCGGGGGCAGGGCTGGCCGGGGAGAGGGGCTGCAGGAGGTTGGCCGGCCAGCCCGCCGCCCCCTATTGGGGTAGAAGGGGCCGATCAGGGGCAGGGCTGGCCCCGGGGAAGGGCTGTGGGGAGGTTTGGCCGGCCGCCCCACCCTAAATCCGGGTGGGAGAGGCTGATCAGGGGCGGTGCTGGCCAGGGGGAGGGGCCACGGGAGGTTGGCCCCACCCACTTATTGGCGGGTTTGCTGGCTGCAGTGGCATCATAGCGACCAGTCATTCTGGTCGTTACGCCATTCAGGTCTCTGGCTTTTTATATATATACTAGAGGCCCGGTGCACAAAAATTTGTGCACTCGGGGGAGGGGGGTCCCCCAGCCCGGCCTGTGCCCTCTAGCAGTCTGGGACCCCTCGGGAGATAACGACCTGCTGGCTTAGGCCTGCTCCCAGGTGGCAGAGGGCAGGCCCAATCCCTAGGTGCAGCCCCTGGTCAGGCTCAGAGCAGGGCCGATTGGGGAGTTAGGGCGCCGCCCCGTCATGCACAGAGCAGGGCGGATCGGGAGGTTGTGATGCCACCCTCAGTCACGCTCAGGGTAGGGCCGATTGGGGGGTTGGGACACCGCCCCCTGTCACACACAGAGCAGGGCGGATAAGGGGGTTGGGGCGCTGCACCCTGTCACACTCAGGGCAGGGCCAATGGGGAGGTTATGGCTCTACCCTGTCACACACAGAGCAAGGCCCGTGGAGGGGGGTTGGGGCACTACCCTCTATCACCCACAGAGCAGGGCCGATCAGGGGGTTGGGCCGCCGCCACTGTCACAATCGGGGCAGGGTCAATGGAGAGGTTATGGCTCTACCCTGTCACACACAGAGCAGGGCCCGTGGGGGGGGGGGGGGGTTGGGGCGCCACACTCTGTCAAACACAGAGGCCGCAGGGAATCAGGGGATTGGGGAGCTCCCCCCTATCAGGCACAGAGCAGGGCAGATAGGGAGGTTGTGGCCCCAACCCCTGTAACACACAGAGCCGCAGGCAGATCAGGGGGTTTGGGCCCTGCCCCCTGTCACGCTGATCCCGGGGCTGGGAGCCTCACTGCTCCGCTGATCCTGGGTGCTGGGGAGGCATATTACCCTTTTACTATATAGAAATAGAGGCCTGGTGCATGGGTGGGAGCCGGCTGGTTTGCCCTGAAGGTGTCCTGGATCAGGGTGGGGGTCCCCACTGGGGTGCCTGGCCAGTCTGGGTGAGGGGCTGAGGGCTGTTTTCCGGAAGCAAGTGACTGAAGCTTCCAACCGCTCCTTGTTTTCTTTTTTTCTTTTTTTTTATTCTGGGCCAGCTTTAGCTCTGAGGCCTCGCTGCTGAAAACATCAATAAAAAGTTTCAGTCCGCCTGGCTTTTAGTCCAGCTGGTTTCTGGAGTTTTGTTTATCTTCTTATTTGCAACATAGTACATAGTTGCTTAGAGTTGTAGCTCAGAGGCCGGCAAGTGAGGCGGGGAACGTTGAGTCTGCAGCAAGCAAGCCTCATGCTTGCTTCCAGCTGCCTGGCTGCTGGCCGCCATCTTGGCTGACAGTTAATTTGCATATACTCACCGATTAGCCAATGAAAAGGGTAGCGGTCGTACGCTAATTACCATGTTTCTCTTTTATTAGTGTAGACAGATGACATTGAATGAAACAATGTTATTCAAGGACCTGCTATATTACTTAGTGTGATAAATGCAATAGTAAAGGTATAAACAAGGTACAGTGGTAGTAAGAATGTAAAACAAACAATCCACTTTACCTTTAGGAAAGACTGCACAGGAAGTGACGTTTATTGCTTCATCCTGGGAAGTATTTACTAGGCACATAGTTGGGGAAAGGGCATTATAGGCATATATGCAAAGACATGGAGTCATGAAAGAGAATGCTGTATGCTTAATCACAAGTAGTTTAATTATTGCTGTGATGTTGGAATGTGGTTGGGTAAGTGGTTTCTTTGCATCATAAGTTCTTTCTATTCTAATGTAAGTTCTGTTTTGTCATTAGTTCTTTCTATTTTCTTATAGTTTGCATAGTAAAGAAAACAACAATACAAGAGTAGAATCCATGATGAGTTCTGTACAAAAAGATAACTTTTATCAACATAACATGGAAAAATTAGAAAATGTTTCTCAGCAAAGTATTGATAAATCACCAGTTGAAAAAAGTACACAGTATTTGAACCAGCAGCAGACTGCAGCTATGTGTAAGTGGCAAAATGAAGGAAAACACAATGAGCAACTTTTGGAAGGTGAACCTCCAACAGTAACTCTGGTATCAGAACAGTTCAGTAATGCTAACGTTGATCAGTCACCTCAAAATGATGATTGCAGTGACACATATAGTGAGGAAAGTAGAGATAATCAACAGTTTTTTATACCTGTAAAGCTTGCAAATGCAAAGCAGACTACAGAAGATGAACAGGCCAGAGAAGCCAGAAGCCACCAGAAGTGCAGAAAGTCTTGCCACCTTGTGGAAGACTGTGCAGATTGTCAACAGGAAGAGATAGATGTAGTGCCTGAGAGTCCCTTGTCAGACATTGGCTCAGAGGATGTCAGTACTGGACTGAAAAATGCTAACAAATTGAGTAGGCAGGAAAGTAGCCTAGGAAATTCTCCTCCATTTGAGAAAGAAAGTGAACTCGAGTCACCAATGGATGTAGATAATTCCAAAAATAGTTGTCAGGACTCAGAAGCAGATGAAGAAACGAGTCCAGGATTTGATGAACAAGAAGATAGCAGTTCCACCCAAAGAGCAAATAAACCTTCAAAGTTCCAAGCCAAAGAAGCTGACACTGAATTGAGGAAACAGTCATCTGCTAAGGGAGGTGAAATTCGATTACATTTCCAGTTTGAAGGAGAAAGTTGTGCTGGAATGAATGATTTAAGTGCCAGACTGCCTGGAAGTACTTCTAGCCTGAATGTAGAATGCAGAAATTCCAAGCAACATGGGAAAAAGGGTTCTAAAATCACAGATCATTTCGTGAGAATGCCTAAAGCAGAGGACAAAAGGTAATTTTTTTCTATCAGGAGTATCTCCAATAGTGTAATGCATTTTGTAATTTTTTTAAGGGGAGTTTAGCAAAGATACAGTTTACACTGAAGCAAAGAAACAGTTGTGTTTCTTGCTATCTGTTTATGCTAATTTGAACCTAGACTCCAAATTTTAAATTCTAAAAAGGCCAGAAACAGAAAAGAAGATGTAAATAAGTATTGTTAATCAGTTTTTTAGTTTAATGAACTTCCTTTTGAAGTTAATGTGAATTATCAAGACATAAAAATATTTGATTGATAGCAGCTACTGTTCATTTAGCCGTTCCCTAGGTCATAGTATATTGCAGTTTCTCTAATGCTCTGACAGGCATGCAGGTGGTATTGTACTCACTTAAAAAATGAGAAAACTGAAATTTGGGTTAGAGAATTCACTGAAATTATGTAATTTGTGGGTCTTAACACTGAGATTACAAAAAAAAATATTGAAAGTTATGTTTTTGTAAATATTCCTTATGGAATCTTAAAGCCCACTCTCTATTATTTCTGTGATTTATTTTTCCTATCAAAGTTCACTTCATTGAAGATTACTGGCAGTGTCCATATTCTTACGTGTTCGTGTCCATATTCTTACGTGTTCCTTTCTTCAGAAAGTGATTTACTTGTGTTTGGGAATTTCTTCCACTATAACCTGTATTAGTTTTTTTATTTTTCTTAATTACCAAGGAGAAAGACAAGCTTGGCACATTTAAAACAATAACATTCTAGGTAAGATTTGTATTGTGTATCTAAGTGAATTTAAACAGTAAGTAGTTCGTGACTGTATACATTTGTTTTGACCTTAGAAAAGAACAATGTGAAATCAAACATCAAAGGACAGACAGGAGGATCCCTAAATACGTTCCACCTCACCTTTCTCCAGATAAGAAATGGCTTGGAACTCCCATTGAGGAGATGAGAAGAATGCCTAAGTGTGGGACCCAACTGCCTCTCTTGAGACCATCTGCCAGTCACACAGTAACTGTTCGGGTGGGTATTATCTCTCACCTATAAAGAGAGAAGACTCCAAGTCTTGATTTCTTGTGATACTTACTCATGTGTAAAACAGACCAAGGCATAAGAAAGTGATTCTCTTTTGTGCATATAAAGTACTGAGAAGTCTATAGAATGTAGAAATATAATGATAGCTTAATATGGCACTTAACAAATCCGTAAGATGAATCATTGTCAACTGGTGAGAAAATTGAAATGTTTTGTATTTTAAGAAAATTTATTGATTCTTTTTAACAACAAATATTTAGTTGACAGTATTTATTAAGCAGCTACTACATGTTAGGTACTGGGTTACTTCCTAAAATTCAAAGTTATGGTTCAGTATCTTCAAATTATTCTTTAGTTTTGCTCTCTTTTCTGAGCTTTAGATTCTTCTAACATCTCCATCATTGTTCCACAGGTATCGCAAACTCAATATGTTTAAAACCAACCTCATGCCCTAGTTGGTTTGGCTCAGTGGATAGAGCATTGGCCTGTGGACTGAAGGGTCCCAGGTTCAATTCCGGTCAAGGGCACATGCCAGGGTTGTGGGCTTGATCCCCAGTAGGGGGCATGCAGGAGGCAGCTGATCAATGATTCTCTCTCATCGTTGATGTTTCTATCTCTCTTTCCCTCTCCCTTCCTCTCTGAAATCAATAAAGATATATATTTTCAGGAAAAAAAAATAAAACCAACCTCATTTTAAAAATTATGGTTAAATATACATAATATAAAATTTACCATTTTAAAATGTATGTTTCATTGGCATTTAGAACATTCACAGTGTTATACAACCATTACCACTATCCATTTTCAGAAATTTTTCATCATCCCACACTAACCTTGGTACCTACTAAATAATAACATCCCATTCCTTGCAAGTCCTTGGTAACCTCTTTTATACGTTCTGTGATTTTTTAAAAAAATATATTTTTATTGATTTCAGAGAGGAAGGGAGAGGGAGCAAGAGATAGAAACATCTGTGATGGTAGAGATTTACTGATCAGCTGCCTCCTGCACGCCCCACATTGGGGATCGAGCCTGAAACCTGGGCATGTGCCCTGAATGGGAATCGAACCCTACATGACCTCTTGGTTCATAAGTTGATGTTCAGCCACTGAGCCATGCCGGCCAGGCCTGTGAGTTCTTTTTTAAAAAATAATACATTTTTATTTAGGTATATGAAATTGACCCATTTTTAAGTCATCAATTCAGTAATATTTAGTGAATTTACTTAGTCATCACCATAATCCAATTTCTATCTATTGGAAGATTTCTATCACTAATTGGGCAATTTTAAATAGTCATCTCAGTTATTAGTCAGTTTCTGTTATTAGATTTTATAGGAACTACTTTTTAAAAATCCTTTTTATGGTACAACTTAGTCTAGATGTGATTAAATAAAGCACATAATTCGTTAGCATGGTTAGAGGTGGAAGCAATGTTTAGCAAGGTGGTGGGGTTTGAGCTGAGCTCAAAAAGATGAGCAGAAATTTCTTAGGTGGAGTTAGTAAGGCAAGAAAATCTCAAATACCAGTAGATACATAACCTTTATAATAAAAGGATGTGTAGTTGAAAAAGATTTGTTTTAGGAATGGAAAACAATTGGTTTACTAGAGTTTAGAATTTGTCTGGGAAATGATGGAGGAAAAGACTTGAAAAGTGTACTGGGTTTATATCATAGAGGGCTTCAGGTACCTGGAACTGTACTTGACTCGGTAGATTATGGAAATCATTACTAGTAAACTGCTTGTGCTGGCAATAGTTGGGTTGTAACAAGATTAATCAAACAGCTGTACATAAAAAAACAATAGAAGTGAGGCTGCATTGGAAACAGGTAAAATTCATAGGAGATGAAAAGTAAGGAGATAGTAATGATCAAATTGTGCTGCATTGATGTGGTTCAGGGGTTCTTTTGAAATTTGAAGTTTTTTTTGTTTTTTTTGTTTTTAATTTGAACATTAATATTAAAACGTTTTTATTTTTTTATTTTTTATTATTTTTTTATTGTTGACAGTATTACAGATGTTTCCCATTTTCTCCCCGTTTATCTCCCTCTGCCCAGCCCCTGCCCCCCTAACCCCTGTCTCCACCACCCTATTGTCCGTGTTCATGGGCTGTGTATGTAAGTACGTATGTAATTTCTTTGGTTTATCTCTCCTCGTTCCCGCACCACCACATTGAGGTATGTGAGTCTGTTCCATGCCTCCATGCTCAGCTCTTACTTTGTTGGTTAGTCAGTCATTTTGTTCATTGGATTCCACAAATAAGTGAGAACATGTGATGTTTGTCTTTCTCAGATTGGCTTATTTCACTTAGCATAATAGTCTCTAGGTCCATCCATGCTGTCCCAAAGGATAAGAGATCCCTCTTTTTTTTTTTTTTTTAACAGCTCATAGTATTCCATTGTGTAAATGTCCCACAGCTTTTTTATCTATTCATCTACTGATGGATACTTAGGCTGATTCTAAATCTTAGCTATTGTAAATAATGCTGCTATAAACATAGGGTGCATATATGCTTCCTTATTGGTGTTTCAGGGTTTTTAAGATATATTTCCAGAAGTGGATCATTGAGTCCAGTGGAGTTTCATTCTTTTTTTTTTTTTTTTTTGATTTTTTTTTATTAAATCTTTATTGTTCACATTATTACATTTGTTCCTCTTTTTTTCTCCCCATAACTCCCCTCCTTCCAGCTCCCACCCCACCCTCCGCCCTCACTCCCCACCCACTGTCCTCATCCATAGGTGCACAATTTTTGTCCAGTCTCTTCCCGCATCTCCCACACCCCTTTTCCCCCCAAGAATAGTCAGTCCATTCCCTTTCTATGTCCCTGATTCTATTATAATCACCAGTTCATTCTGTACATCAGGTTATTTATTCACTTGATTCTTAGATTCACTTGTTGATAGATGCATATTTGTTGTTCATAATTTGTATCTTTACCTTTTTCTTCTTCTTCCTCTTCTTAAAGGATACCTTTCAGCATTTCATATAATACTGGTTTGGTGGTGATGAACTCCTTTAGCTTTTCCTTATCTGTGAAGCTCTTTATCTGACCTTCAATTCTGAATGATAGCTTTGCTGGATAAAGTAATCTTGGTTGTAGGTTCTTGCTATTCATCACTTTGAATATTTCTTGCCACTCCCTTCTGGCCTGCAAAGTTTCTGTTGAGAAATCAGCTGACAGTCGTATGGGTATTCCCTTGTAGGTAACTGAGTTTCTTTCTCTTGCTGCTTTTAAGATTCTCTGTTTGTCTTTTGCTCTTGGCATTTTAATGATGATGTGTCTTGGTGTGGTCCTCTTTGGATTCCTTTTGTTTGGGGTTCTCTGCGCTTCCTGGACCTGTAAGTCTATTTCTTTCACCAGGTGGGGGAAGTTTTCTGTCATTATTTCTTCAAATAGGTTTTCAATATCTTGCTCTCTCTCATCTTCTGGTACCCCTATAATTCTGATGTTGGTACGTTTGAAGCTGTCCCAGAGGCTCCTTACACTATCTTCGTATTTTGGGGTTCTTTTTTCATTTTGCTTTTCTGGTTGGGTGTTTCTCGCTTCTTCGCATTTCAAATCTTTGACTTGATTCTTGCGCTCCTCTGGTCTGCTGTTGGGAGTCTGTATAATATTCTTTATTTCAGTCAGTGTATGCTTACTTTCTAGTTGGTCTTTTATCATACCATCGAGGGTCTCATTAGATTTCCTGTACATCTCATCAAGTTTATCGACAGACTCTAGAAGCCTCTTGAGAGACCTCAAAAGTGTGGTTCTGAACTCAATATCCTCCCTTGATAGTTTTGTCCTGTTTCTTTGTCTCCGCATTTTTTACGGTTTCTTGGTACACCCCCTAGTGGTCTTTGTGCGAAGTCTTGTTGTAGTTAAGCCTTGATTGTTGTAGTTAATACTAGAGAGATTTGACCTCCAGGCCGACTGGCTGTGGTAATCAGCTGTGTCTGCAATGGAAGAACTTGTGTCCTCTAGGGAGGTGCTAATCTAGCCTTTGCCTGAGGCTATCCAGCAAATGCCTCTGTGCAGGGCTTGGGCGGGGCGGGTCCCAAGGGATCAACAGGGCGGAGGAGGGAGCAGTTATGGCTGCTCTCAGTCCGTCCCCAGGGGCTCTGCCTCTGTGTCCCAGCAACCGCTGCAAACCTCGGAGGGACCGAAGCCAGACAGTCCTGCTTCTCCCGTTTGAGTCTGGGTCCCTAGAGACTCGCCCAGATCTGGAGCTCAGAGTCTGAGGCTCCCTCCGGATTGAAACAGACAACCACGCCCTCAGCCACCAGCCCGTGCCGCGCGCACTCAGCACCTTAGTATTTTACTTCAGCACTGCGCCTCCTCTGATTCTCAGTTCCTCCTAGTTGTAGAACTTCCACTCAGCCAGCCTTCCTGTGGTTCTGGATGATGTCCGTTCTGTCTTTTAGTTGTATTTTTGAAGTGGTTGTTCGAGGCAGCAAACTCCGGCGTTAACCTATGCCGCCATCTTGGTTTCTCTCGGAGTTTCATTCTTAATTTTTCGAGGAAAACCCATACTGATTTCCATGGTAGTTGCACCAATTGCCACCAGCAGTGAACTTGTTCCCTTGTTGGGAACATCTTTGCCAACACTTGTTTGTGGATTTATTGATGGTAGCCATTCTGATAGGTGTGTAGTTTTAATTTTCATTTCTCTGATGATTAGTGACTTGGAGTATTTTTTCATATGTCTCTCGGCCATTTGTCCTCTTTGGAGAAGTGTTTTGATGGTAGCCATTCTGATAGGTGTGTAGCTGTTCCAGAGGCTCCTTACACTATCTTCGTATGTTTGGGTTCCTTTTTCATTTTGCTTTTCCGGTTGGGCGTTTTTTGCTTCTTCGTATTTCAAATCTTTGACTTGATTCTTGCGATCCTCTAGTCTGCTGTTGGGAGTCTGTATAATATTCTTTTTTCAGTCAGTGTATGCTTAATTTCTAGTTGGTCCTTTATCACAACCTCGAGGGTCTCATTAGATTTCTTGAGGGTCTCAT